TTAGAAATTAACTATCAAACATGACAAAATGAAAATACTTAATTATTAAAAATTATTAAGTCCCATCTAATGATCTAAGAATAACTAAGCTGTATTAAGACATAATTAGCAAGTTGGTGTTGGAATTATCCTTTAAAATAAAAATTATTTCCTATTTTGAATTATTAATTGTTTTATTTTTCTGTCTCATGCTTTAACTGCGAAAAAAATGGTTTTTGTTGTGAACGAAAAATCCAAAAATTCCCAAGCGTTTTGCATTGATGCTTTTGTGAAATTTATTTTACTTGAACGAGCAAATTTACTTGTGATTCAAGTTTGATAGCTTTTGAGTAATGATTATGAGTTCGATACTCGCTGATATAAACTCTAATGTTTCAATCGTTTAGAAACGGTTGGAATAATGTTTTATTCGTCAAGGGGAAGTCATCGTTGGAAAATATCTGTAACGTTTTCGACGAGATCGACCTAGATGGAGTCGACTCAAGCTTTTTGATCTTTGCAAAACAAAAAAGATCCAATATTGGTAAGAAGTACATGTGTTGTTGGTGAATGTTATTTATGCTAAATCCACATATGTAAAAACAAGTGATTTTGAATGAAAAAGAAAGTATCAGATATCATGTCTTAACCTTGTTTACTAAACGTTTATCGGGTGAATATTACAATGGTCGAAAATCTTACTCAATAAAAGGCATATATATGTAGAAATTGCAGGAAACCGTATCAGATATTGTCAGTTTTGTCCATACATGTATGATAGATGAGGTATCTAGCCACTTATAAGGCAACCTTAGTTACACTCCCCAACGGATATTGTAAGACCAATAGCAAGGATAGATAATCTTATCCAGTAAGTGAAATAAAACTTTTACCCTGTTAACACTTACCAAGTAAATTGCCAACAATCAATTTTGAAAGCCGGAAATGTCATATGATAAAGTAAGTGAAGGTGATGACTGTTGTTGCTTAGTACATGTCCGGTAAACGTTTGAAAAACGATTCCTTAATAAACTTTGAAGATAGATACCATGTCTTTATAGATTTAGTAACTTTCATACTTAGAAAATATCGAAAGAAATCTATATCGTCTTATTATACAATCTCTTGTTAATTAAGAAAATACGAAAATCTATCAATACTAAAAGATACAATTATTATAAGTTATAATTGTTTAACTTCTTCAAAAACTTCTTATTTTACCGGTTTGACACCGATATAAACTGTTTATTCAAACACTCAAAGTGCTTAGTACCGATGACACACCAGAATAAGTCAATAAATTATTTTTATAAGCAATCCGTATGAATTAAGAATTTAATATGTGGGAGAAGAAATAAAAAAGGGGGAAGGAAGGGAAGAAACAATTGGGACGGCAATGCGGTATTTTGTTTGATCGGTTGTTAATAAGCGGTTGGAGCATCCGGATGAAACGACCCAATGATCTTGGGCCGGTTCGGTCCAGCAGTTAATATCCAAATTTACGCTGTTATTACTTATGCAAATCCTTGTTGTTTCCTAGGAAACATGTTTCATATTTCCAGATTCTTTCATCTCTATAATTTCTTTGGAATATAGAATTATAAGTCTAAATTTATATTTAATTTTAATATTTTTTTTTTATTTTAGACTTATTCAACCTCAATTATATTATTAAAATACTTTATAATTTTATCATATTTGAAAAAGAAGTTCACATCAAAAACTATAATTAACTCAATTTTATTAGTGGAAAATATTAGAATAACATTTTTTTTATATAGAGGAGGGAAACCCATCCTATCAAGAGAAAAAAAAACCAAAAACGCTAAAAGCAATAGATTAAGCATTAGGACGAGGGCGAACCAAATCCACCAGAAAGAAACCAAGGCTTCCAACTGGAAAGGAAAAAAAAACCGAGGGGTGGAGAGAAGAGAAAAACCAACCACTGGGGAAGGTCTCAGGCAAGACGAGCACGGACAACAAAAAAAACATTCTACCTGTACTCTAAAGAGTTTTTGAATATTCTTTATATTTGGAGTTTTTCTCTAGGTTTATTTAGTTTAAATAACAAGATAAAGCAATCTATCTGGTAGAACAATATAAAGAACAAAAACTATTTTGTCTATTTTAGATAATCTGTTTGAGATGCTCTTATAAAACTCACAATTCTAAAAAAAATGAAATAAATGATTGAATTTACTAAACCACACAAAAAAATCCTTGAATCTAATGAAGAAAAAAACCCAATAAACTTTACATTTTAAGTGATTAATCTTTACGCATTTTTTTGAATGGATATTTCATGATATTTATACAAAGATATATAAATATATAAAGTTGGGATCACGTAAGACCAACCTATTTTCGTGAGGCCCATGAGATCATTTTTACTTGAAACTTCATAGCAAAACTCTGTGAAGGTAACATTCACAGTGTTTTTCCTGTGAATGTTTGACTTTTTTTATCTTCACAGCGTTTTTTTGCTGTAAAGTTTCAAATGTAAAAAAATGGTCTCACGGATCTCACGAAAACAGATTGGTCTCACGTAAACCCGACCTTTTTTATATATATAAATGAATTCTCTCTTTATATATCAATGGACTATTAACATATATACAATAAACTAATAAAGCAAAAATGATTATATACATTATTTGTTTATCATATATTCAAATGACAATAACAGAAGAAACTAGAAAGCTACTAATTATCTGATTTTCAAATTCAAATAGAAAATTAAGGAGTAATAACAAACCATATGATTCTCATTTGAATCTAAAAAAACAATCAATGATTAGTTTTGTTTCCAATATTCATTCTGATTTGTTGATACACCGAGAGAGAAAAAAAGGCATATTGCTTTCGTTTTATACATGTACTCGTTCAAAATAATGTTCAAAGACTTAATCGTTCAAATGAAACTACCCTAATGCTTTTAATAGGTTTTAGTAAGTTAAAGCATTTACTTGTTCTATTTTCATTAAGTTCATGAATTTATTTGTATTATCCAACAAGTTTAAAGAACTATTTGTTCGAAAAAATATCCAGAGATGTAATCACTCAAAATATACAAAGTATGTTGTATATTTTTTAGACTTTTCCACTGCAGTTCCATTGACTAGAATCTTATTCATTAAGTTAAATAACAGTGTAAACTCTTACCAATAAGCACTACTAGGTAAACTTCTACATAATGGTCCCCTAGTTAAATTACTGACTAATAAAGTGTGACTTTTGTAACCCATGATCCATTTTTTTTGCGAAATAGTCTTACTTGATTAAACCTGATTAAATTAGGTTTTAAATGATTCATAATGGTTTTCATCAAAACTTGGCGGCTAAAAAAGAGTGTGCACAAACATTTATTTCTCTTCCTTTCAACGTTGATAACATATACTCACCGTTTGGTGGTGTAATAAATGACTACATCAATCACTCCTCCTATAATTCATGAACCCAAGTGTACCACTTCTAATTCTTCTTACTTTTGTACTACTGTTTAAACTGCTATTATCAGATATTTTTAAGAATAACATAAAGCATATATACGTACGTTGTAATTCCCCGCTCTTTATGAAAACCGTATATCTTGACCAAAAAAATGTGTAAACCATTCATCATAATACAACGAAATACTAAAAATATCGTGACATCATATACCTCTGAAAATTGACAAGTTTACAAAGTGCAAAAATTCAAAAAAGAGAGTCTGGGTAGCTATGATCTCTACATAAAATCTTCATATTACGGTTTTCATCTTTACTGCGTTCAACCTGATATGCTCATGGGAGTTGCGACACATGTTATTAGTCAATGTGACTCTCATTGAGTCTATGCAATATTAAGCATTGAATAAAATCTTACGTTGTTCAAAAGAGTCACCATAAACTTGTCAGCACTTTATCCAAGTGTCAAAGTAAGTGGCGGTGGCACTAAACTCTTAACCTAACGACCGGATGTATACCTGATTTTCCTCTTAACATTATGATATTAAGGTGGATCGTCCAATCAAGGGTTTTCCACAAAAAGGGGTTGTATAAGCAAAATGGTACTCGGTTGAAGCAAGTCATGATAACTTCCGTTCAAATAAACTCAAAAGTATTTATCTAATTCATAACTATCGTTACAACTTTTTTTTCTAAAATATACTTTCTTTTTTTATATATAAAAGAGACGTACAAAAAAATAAAGAAAAATGCTGTATTTTTAAAATAAAATTGACATATAAGGGGGGTGTTGGGATTGCTTATAAAAACAATTTATTGACTTATTCCAATGTGATACCGGTAATAAGTATTTTTAAGTGTTTGGATAAACAAGTTATACCGGTAATAAGAAGTTTTTGAAAAAGTTAAACCATTCTAACTTATAATAAGTTGATAAATGTTTTTATATAAAAGTATAAGTTGTTTCAAATAAGTAATCCCAAACACTCCTAAATTCAAAAATATTAAAACAAAAAAAATTTAGTTAAATAAATATTAAAAAAAATAAAACTATTGTTTCTTGTGTAAAAATGATAAAATAAATATCCGGGTTATAGGACCCTATAAAATAACACGTTGGGGGGGCAGCCTTTCCGTCTTCACTCTTCACGCCACTTTGTAAAACCTCTTTATCCCTTCACACACTCTCTCTCCCCTTCCATATTTCAATCCCACCGGAAATTTCAGATACCGGAGCTCCTCCCCTCCTCCTCCTCCGTACTTTCCCCTTTTACTTTTTGTCTCACCGGAATTAGCAAAGACATAGATACCACGACCTTCCGTACACATTCACTGACTCAACTATATTCCTTGATTCCTCCCCCTCCCCCTTTCTCCTTTTTTCCGTTGAAAAGGAATCCCTCTTCCCGGCAACTTCTTCTTTGGTAGCCATTGAAGCTGTTTCCCGTCGCACGAGTACTCTTAACGCTTTCTCGTTCCCTACCTATAGAAACATCTTTATCGATAAAAGGAATCTTCTCTTTTTGCACGCTCTATTCCTATATATCTCTAGCACCCAATGCGAATCTGATTAATTCACTGAAACAGAGGTCATGGCTAAACCAGAGATATTCGATTCCGTCAAGTTTACTGAGCATAAAACCCACACTACCATGGTTATTAAATCAGCTGGAGATAAACCCTCCACTCGGGAGGATATGAATGCCGTCGCCGCCGGTCCTAGAGTCGTCAGGATATCGGTGACTGATGCCTACGCCACTGATTCTTCTGGTGACGAGAAGGACGACTGTTTAGGCCGGCGGAGAGTGAGGAAGTTTGTTAATGAGGTCACGATCGAAGCTCGTTCGAGAGATGATTTGATTAACAGAAATGGAAATGGAAACAGAAGTTTGAATAGAACGGCGTCTAGTCGGAGGAAGAAGGTGGTCGGAAAAAGTGACGCCACGGCGGAGAAGAGGTTGAAGGTTAATGCCGGTAAGAAGTTTCGCGGCGTACGGCAACGACCGTGGGGGAAATGGGCGGCTGAGATCAGAGATCCAATGCGACGTGTACGGCTGTGGTTGGGTACGTATAACACTGCAGAAGAAGCCGCCATGGTCTACGATCACGCTGCAATCCAACTACGTGGACCCGACGCACTAACCAACTTCACTGTCCCACCACCACCACCACCGCCGGATAAACAGCCGTTGTCGGTCTCCTCCGGTTATAACTCCGGCGAAGACTCTCACGACCACTGTATCAACAACAAAGCGACATCACCAAAATCCGTTCTCCGTTTCGCCTCAGCTTCCACAGACGAGTCAACCGCTGAGTCAACTCACAACGACGCCGGAAACGAAGCTTCAGAGATAACCGGAGAAGAAGCAGCTGCGTCGGATAATTTCTCAAGTTTCCAGCCTTTCGACACCCCTTTCTCCACCTCCGATCTGTTCGATTTCCCGGATATCGTACCCGACATTTTCGACCCGACAAGCTTGTCCGGTACGCCATTTCAAGCCTCCGACCCGCTTGATATGTTCATCGATTCTGCCATTGATGTCGGGTTTGGTACGTGGCCCGTAGACGATTACTTCAACGAGTTCGGTGATATATTCGGGTCGGATCCTCTGGTGTCGTTATAAGAACCGGTTTGGATATATGAGGAATTTTTGTACCGAATTAGGAAAGTTTGTTGATTTGTTTATTTTAAATATAGGTAAAAAAAGATATTTAGGTTTTAACTCCGTTAACGTTAAAAGTAACGGACGAGTTGTTAAATATGTGTGGATGTTTAGGGTAAGGCACGTGATAGGTGCACGTGAGTTCAAAGAAAAATGTCGATGGTACTTTGAATTAGGTGAAGGAAAGAAATGGAATGAATGCTACTCTCATTTTCACTCTATTCTTGTTGAAGTTCAATGCTTTTAACGTTGTACCACTCAAGATGCATAGGGTACAAGTACCACCCATCTTATTTTCTCTTCATATAAATATTAAATAAAATTAATATTTTTTTTTTGTAATTTCCAATAACCTCTTTATTGGTAAATATACTTACAAACGAAGTGTTTTTCCGGTTAAATTACAAATCAAAGTTAGGGCCTGTTTGTTTGGCTTTTAATGATGACATTAAAAGTCAACCTCTTAATCGGTAAGAGATAAGGTCTGTTTGGCAACAAAAAAAAAAAAAACAACCACCTTTTTAATGGTTACAATAACCTCTTAACCATTTTGCATCTACAGCTTCACTAAACCATTCAGATTGCATTTGTTCCCTCTTTACCCCTCCACACCACTCTTCCAGCCGTCCCATTATCTATTAACGTCCCCTTCACGAGTCTCCTCCCCTTCCCCAGGTCGGCCGGTTGTCGCCTCCTGAGTCTCCATCGCCGGTGACCATCACCGTCTCCATCGCCGGTGACCACCACCGTCTCCATCGCCGGTCACCTTCCACAACTTCGCCTACTGTCTCCTTCTGTGATAATCCATCTGCTTCCACAGTCGTCGTTCCCTCCATATCCTTCCACGGTTGCCGTTCCCTCCATCTCCTTTCACGGTCGCCGTTCCCTCCATCTGCTTCCACTGTCGTCGTTCGCTTAAGGTATTTCCCTAAAATCGATCTCCTCACTTCCATACATCTGCTTCCTCTACCGTCTCCTTCAATGTTTATGTTGAAACCTTGCAATCACACAATGAGGTTTCTTGAAACAGTGGCTTTGAGGTTTCTGTCTATGTGGATACATGGTTTTAGGAAACAGTGGCTTGGTTCTGTCTATGGTGTTTCATTGATGAGCTTCTTGATCAAGTGATAATGATAAGTGGTAAAGGTTGGATGCCATTCTTTCTTACTAGCAAGATATCATCAACCAAAATAGATGTCCAATTTATATATATACTTGTTGTCTAGCAGAAACTAATCGAAAGCAAAGCAGAATCAGTTGCAAATAGGCAGTGGCTGTTTAGTCAGTATTGTAAATATTGTATGTAAGGGGTTGTTTATAGACAGTGGCTGTTTTGTCACTTGATAATAGAGTTTAGTACTAATAATTGTTTTATTCAGATATCTGTCAAACAATTATATTTCATTCAGTACTAAATCATATAGAGAGTTAAAATGGTAATTTGTTGTCATTCAAAGAACAGTTACCAAACACCATTATTTCATTCAGCATTTACCATTCTGGTCCTCTTAACCATTATGACCACTTAACCATTCAGCAACCGTCAAACAGCCCCTTATACAGTTTTAGATCTGTTTATTATTAGGGGCACGCTCTACCCACTGAGCTAATAGCCCGTCGTGCGAGCCCTCCACTGAGGGTCCATTATGTCAAAAACGAGAGAAACTTCCTTCCCCCCCCCCCCATGTCGCCATACAGTAGGCATGGGGACGTAAAAGGGGGATCCTATCAATTTGTTCCGACATGAGATAATAAGCTCATGAGCTTGGTCTTACTTCACTGTCGAGAAACGAAAAAAGACTTTCATCTCCAAGTTTAACTTAGACGTAGCTCCCTTCTTTTTGGATGTAAACCGGTGTTTAAATACTGAAATCTAATTGAAAAGTTTGTTGAAACACCTGTGAGTTTTAATGAACAAAAAATGGAGATGATGGTTCTACAAATGGAAAAAGAAAAAGAGAATGATGATCCAAAACTAGTCTTTTGGGGATGAGGTGTTTGTTTCTTGGCAAATGGTGAATAAAAGATTGGGTGTGGAAGTCATGAGTCAACTCTCCACCCCATGACACCTGCCCCCAATCTTCAACTTTCCTCTTTCCTACATTATTGGGGCTCACCATACCATTTAATTATCTTTAACTTATTCTATAAATATTACCTTTTATCCCAATAACATCAAATAGATACACAAACATATATGTATATTTGTAAAAAAAATTGCATTTTTAAGTCGGGTTCAGTTAAAGATCAGTTGGGTATGTCGATCTGGAATTAGTTATGGTTTTTGAACAAGCGATAAGTTATGATTCTACATGAGTATGAACAGTGAACCTTAAGAACAGACTCGGTATTTTATCAATCTCTTTTTCACAACGAGTAACTTTTTTTGGTCACTGTTGTTGCATCTTTGTGTCATGACAAGATGAGATGACATTATTAAAAAAAATGAATGACTGGTTAATCACGACGAATAGATTTATCGTGCTGGTTTGAATCTTACAAAAAAAAAAACAAATGTTACGTTTCATTAGTTCAAGGAAATGATGTGGTTGATTTCATGCAACACTTCAAAATGAAGTTCAATCCACTGTAGAGGGACTAGTTGTGTCGTTTAGTAAAAGATGAAGTGAATAATTTCGTCACGCCCTTGCTCCTTACTACAGCCAACGAGATTTGGTTGAACGTTACCTGTTACTACTCAACTAATTAATGTTCAGTAAGTTCATGGTTTCAAACACATATTAATAGTTTTTATTATATTCTTACACGCTGTCAATATGTAGAAATCCTGAAAACATGAACATTGAGAACTTATAAGTGAACTGATTACGGCGTGAGTTGTTAATTTGATAACAATGAAGTAGTGACGTTCATTGGTTTTCTCGAGCACATATATCTCAAAAACAATATAATATTGGTCCACTCCAAAACGTATTACTTACAACACATATATTCACTATCATCAAGCATGACTTGCGGTTTGCTGCCTTGACTAAACTTGTGTCCAAAATTGTTAAGTCACCACAAGGAAAAGAGTTATAACACAATTATCGATCAACAAAACTAGACGTTTATAAACATTAGTTTATTATTTTTACTAAAATAGAGATATTATTTTTGCAATCATACTTAATATATTAATTATCTATAAACTGGAAGAAAACGGACAAAAATTTTAATCCGACCGATCTGATTTTGATTTGTATTAAACATTATATATTTTGAACGGTTACCTAATTCATCCACTTTACTACCTATAAAAAACATAAATTTTGAAATACTAAATATAATGGCTCAGTTTTTATATTACTCGAAACTAAATACAATAGTAAGTAGTTCTTGTTATTATATTTAATTTACTCATTATTTATAATATTAAAAAAGAGGCAACACGTTCAATTTTGACTCGACCCGATTTATAATTATTTTTTTTAATTTCAAACAATTATCTAATCAGCATATTTAATGACGTAAAACTAAAGTTTAAAAGCCATATTTTCAAAATAGAAAATCAAAAACGCAAGTACATCTAAACAATCTTGTGGAATATATCACCTTTTTCACACCGTACCCAGTTGCCAAATGAATCTCATCATTTGTAGCTTGGTTTGGGTCTACATATATACCATTTTCAAACACTACTCAACCGGTTTCATTCCGATTCGATAGGTATCGATTAAAGTATTCATAATATTTTTATTTGATACAATATCTGAAAGATAAAAATATAATTATTAATTTTGTTTATTTGATGCATGAGAAATACAGAGGAAACCATATGGTAAATCAGTTTGACTCACATATACGAGTGTTGCTCTGTGTGTGCAAAAAGGGGAACAAAGGTTCTCTGTTTGTTGCTATGGTTTAAGGTCATATTTGACAATCATAATTCATAAGACAACTTATTATTGAGTTTATTAAAATAGTTTCGCTTAAGTTATCAATTAGTTTGCCCAAAATAGAGTGAACCTAAGCTCATTAACTTCCTGTCAAAACCAGATTCATTAAGTTTATAAAATCTTGGTGGATTCAGGTTTTTCCAATTTCGTTTTGAATCATAAATCAAATAAAAAAAAAGATAAATTAGATTGAAAATATTATACCATCTTCAACAGCTATGCTATTTTAGAAAATTTAATAATTTAAAAAGTTTGATCCAATAAATATTTGAGGGGCCGTTTACCAAACACTTACCCGGGTAAGCATTTATCAAGTCATGTTACCTCACCGGATGAATATGGTAAGGACCAAGAATATTACCTGGTAAGAGCGAGACAAGAACCATGAATATTACCTGGTGAGTGAAGACGACGACTTTTACCACGATAAACGATTACCGGGTAAATTGTTGCATATGATGTCGTTTTGATGAACTAAAATCTTACCCGGTATGTAAATAATAGTGTTAAGTTTTACCGGTAAGCATTTATTGGGTAAGTGTTTGATAAATCTTTTCTTAAAATAAAAAAAAATTATAAATTAAAAAAAATGGAGATAAAATATAAGTTGGAAATGGGAGGTTTAAATTTCGAGAAATTCATGGGAATAGAGACCAGCCGTTAAGGAAACAGTGGTCCTATTTGCTTCTGTAAGGAAGGAGGGAGCTAGCTGTTCTTTATTGGGTTCATCACTCCAGACGACGTCGAATTGGACAAACCCCAATAACAGGCTACAACTTGCATCTCTCAGAACCCTACACTTTCACTTATTTACAATTTTAACACTCTTCTTATAATCTTCTACAATTAAGTCCTTTTACTTTCAATTCTTTTTACAAATAAATCTCCATTTTGTAATTACTTAAGACCCAAGAAAAAGAGTAAGATGAATGAGTTATTAATTCATATTCTCCATATTTGTTTATTTGTAAAACAATAAAATATATAACATCCGTTAAATATGCCCCTGACATGTAACTTGGTTGATTCAAAGGATGAGAAGATGTACGCTTAAAAAAAGTTGGTCCCGGGTTCGAGTCTTGGCCCCTTTATGTGTCTTGCTGTCGGGTGAGTCTTAGATAGTCCACTCACATTGGATTTCTTGGGGTTGGGTGCCATATGGGAATTAAAACAAACCCAGTAAAATTTATATAGTTGGGTGTCTTAGATAGTCCACTCTACTGGTCGTGTCTAATGTTCTATAATATATATAATCTTTTTGTAACATTATTAAGTTTATAATGAGAATCCAAACTAACCCAGTAAAAATTCC